CACTTTGGAGCATTAGCCAATCCATATACAGCAGCCAAGGTAGCTACCTTATTCTGTGATATGGTTGTTAAACTACATGGTTTCCCCAAGACCATAGTTTCAGATAGAAATAGCATCTTCATCAGTCAATTCTGGTCCTTATTATTCAAACATAGTGGAACTACCCTTAGGACAAGCACTTCATACCATCTCCAATTTGATGGCCAAACTGAGGTCACTAACAGATATTTGGAGCAGTACATCAGAGCCTTCTGCCATGAAGAGAGTAATAGATGGTCTTTTAATCTAAGTTGGGCAGAGCTGCATTACAACACTGTTGTGCATTCTTCAATTGGGATGAGTCCATTCCAAGCTCTATATGGGAAGCTACCAACCATGATTTCTCACTACCCTCAAGGATCAGTCAGGGTGGAAGCTGTAGATGTCACATTGTCTCATAGAAATGACTTGTTGGTCAGGTTGAAAAAGAATTTGCAAGGGGCTCAAAATCGGATGAAGATTCAAGCTGATAGACACCGAACAGATATTTCCTTGAAGGTAGGTGATTTAGTTTTGGTGAAACTTCAACCATATCGACAGATTTCATTTGCCAAAAGATCTAATCAGAAATTGGCCAAGAGATATTTTGGCCTTTTCCCTATTACTCGAGTTCTGAGCCCAGTCTCCTATCAGCTACAATTACCAGATGGTTGTAAGATCCATCCTTCCTTCCATGTTTCTGTTTTGAAGCCCTTTAATTTAGAGGAGATCATAAGGACTTGCTTCCTACTTTTCCAGAATTGAGTCATGGTAACTCCCCAGTATAGCAACCAGTAGCTGTTCTGATGTCTCGTTCCATCAGCAACAAAGCAGGAAACCATAAACAATGGTTGGTTCAATGGTCGAATGCTCTACCAGAAGATGCTACCTGGGAAGATGAATCTGATTTGCAGGCACAATATCAGGAATTGAACCTTGAGGACAAGGTTCCTTTACAATAAGGGGCAAATGATACGAAGATGGGAAGAAGATTGAAGGGTGCTCCTTCGTGGGTCAAGGATTTTACCACCATGTAATAAGTCATTCATAGGATTAGAACATTGGTTACTGATATTGGTATGTAAAGTAAGAAGTTAGTTGTGCAAGTGGTGAGGTGGCTAGGTAGTTAGGATGAGGTGGCAAATTCTATTAGTAGCAAGTGGTTGTATAAAAGAACAACACATGTGCAAACGTGTCATTCATTGAATAATATTGAGAACTGTTCTATTCCTTGTGTCTCTTCTTCCTTAAGGGTTCTGCACATTGCTCTTGTTGATAATCCCTTATATTATAGAATTCCTTTCCTTTGAGTCATTTTTTGGCGCTTGAGTTAAGGACGTATATCCAAACTTTTTTTACTGGTTACTTGTCCATATAATGTTGATAAATAAATAAAAGTAAACATAGTAATATATATGGGAAATATGCTTTTTATTGCTGCTAATTTTTTTTTTGTTACTGATTATAATTATGTATTTTGAGAAGTACATAGTTGTAACTCTTCTCAAATTGTTGGTTGACGTGGAAAGGAAAAAAAACAATTTTCATATCATAACTATATATTCCTGGGAATACATAATTATAATCGGTGGCAGAAGAAGTTTTTTTTTTTTTTTTTTTAGAACAATCGGAGAAAATATGGACCATATTATATATATATATATATATATATATATATATATATAAAAGATAAAACACTCCTTCTGCGATGGTAGATGAGTTTTTTTGCAGCCATAGACTCAACAATATTTGTACCATGTTATTTTTATTTTATTTTTTCAAAAAAACTTGGTGGAACCCATAGTTGTTTCTGTCTGCGGGAAAATCTGAACCTCTGCGGCAACAACAGAGTTATAAAACCCATATATATATATATATATATATATATATATATATATAAAAGAAATGAATAGAACTATAAAACACCTAACTCTGAATAATTTAAAGAATTAATTTATATTATGATATAACAGCCAACAATGAAAACACATGGACACTGGTATGCAATGGAAGTACACCACGGCAAACACACAGAGCAATGAGGGAGGACAGGAGGCACTGTATCTGGCATTGATCAGTTTATGTCAGGACTTGGGGCAGAAGGTGTCACAGATCCTCTTGGAAGCAATGCTGAAAGCGTCTCGAGTCTTTTAATTTGGTATGCTCCAATTTCTATCTCGGTTGTTCTGGACCTTCCTGTAACTTTCACGTGATAAAGTTGCCTTCCTTGTGTCAATGAAGTTTCCATGAGAGAAAGAACCACAAACACAAACAGTAGGAAACACACAAACCTTTTGATTTCGTGCCTGTAATAATATGCCATTATCATTGTGTAATTGTGGCTATTGCTTTTTGGCATGCTAAGTGAATTGTTTATATAATGAAGCTAGCTAGCAAACAAAGTTGACCATCCATAAAAGTTGTGTCCGCCGGCTTTGTAAACTGGGATTCCGTCCAGCTAATATTTTGCATGTTCTACTCGCCGCCGGCACATGATTCATCCGCAGCTATGATATGCTTCAAAGTCAATTATATAATTATTACAGTTGAATAATTCTCATTCTGCAGGCTTTGCCATTTGTTTGATTTAAATTTTGAAGTAAGATCATTGAGTTCCTTATAATTAATTTCTTTCTTTGATTATTTTGGTTTATACTAGAACCCATTTTATATCATCGAGATGCTTGACTACTAGCAATAGCATAGTTTATATCAGTTCTACGATCAAATCTCACTTGGAAGATCGTATGTCACATCTCAGTTCTGATAATTCATGTCATGTCCTAGGAACCACTTTGGAAGCATTGTCCCCTCTATCATGGAAACTACCAAATTTCTTGTCCATGCAAGGCAAATAATAAGTCATGGTGGGATAAAAAATTCTCTAAAGTAGCTTCACATTTTTTATTTGAATCAGAGTTTGCGTAAGGTCAGTCTGGCCACACTAGACGACAAGAGCATTTTTTTTATGTTCCGGGACTATAATTGATTGGGTGGTCCTTTTGTGAAAATAGAGAAGATAAAAGAAAAAAAAGAAAAAAATAACATGATTAAAAAGAGAAAAAATTGATCTTATGAGAGAGAGTATTGAGTTTTAGATGTCCGGAACATTAAAAATATATTTCCGTAGACGACATCATCAAACATTTCGAGTTACATTCCTCGTCAACAAAACATCTTACGTTTACTTCTCTTGCACACAATTATCTCAATGATAGTACCATCTGTTCTGCTTAAAAGAGGCTTTCATATTTTAAATGCTTATAATAATGTTCTCATTTAGATGCCACTTAATAATTTAGATATTTAATAATACTTTTACTTCATATTTTCAAATAAAAAATAAATATTAATACATATTATTAATCTGAATAAATTAATTGTTAAAATTAACTATTTATTCAATTTAGCCATTTTATTAAATAATTAAACTGAACTCAAGTTTAGCGAGCGCAGCATATATTATATTGGAAATGGACCCTCTCATGTGCCAAAAAAAACATGATATGATCATGTGGGAAGATCACAACCATACAAAGGTAAATCAACGGTTATGATTTCGTAACTATCTATTTTATCATTTTTTCTCTCTTCTCCTTTTTGACCATTGATCCATCTTTGTATGGTTATGATTTTTCACATGACATGGTCATGTGAATTTTCACATGAGAGGATCCAGATCGTATTATATTAGGGTTTTATAAGAGTTATGTTGTAGGAAAAGTGGTCATGTTATGTTATAGAGATTCGTTTTGCATGCCGTAGTTTTTTTTTTCTTTTACTCTAAAAAATGCGGGTCCCACAAGATGTTGTGTGTGTAGGAAACTTTTTCTTGTCATTTTAAATGATGAACGCAAATCCCATTATATTAAAAGTACAAGCTTAGCTAGCTATGTATTTAATAAAAAGAAAAATTGTGTATCATTTTAAAGTACACAAAGTTATGTCATTTTAAGTGAGAGAAAGAGAGAGATTATGGGAGAGAGAGTGAGGGGGAAATTTTAAAAGTGTGGATTTCACCTCTTTGTGAGAGTGAAAAGATACAAGGTATGTCATTTAAAATGACATACCTTTTTCCTTTAATAAAATGGGTAACTGCCATTTGATATACAGATATGGGTATAAATGAAATAGGACGAGCTAATTTTTGACTTAAATAAGTTAAATTTATGTAAAATATTTAAGTCTAATATAGTCTATTAACCTTTGGCATAAACTATATTATAAATTAGGCTTGATTTATATATATTTTAAATACACAAGACCTGAACTAAATCTGTATAAACCTATTAGACATTTAAAAATTAAAAAAATTATTTTTATTATTTGAAATTATTTAAGCAATAATTTTATTTAAAATAAATAATATGATATTACTCTCCCTAGAGAGTTATAAAAAAAACCTATAACCTGTATTTAAAAAAAAAAATTATAGACAAATTTTTTCTATTTTACTAAATATTATATATCATGTCTAAACCTGATGTAAATTAAGTTATAAACTCCTAATAAACTGATTGACCCATTTGCATCCCTATGTACGAATTCTACCTTTAAACCCACTTATTAAAATTTCTCCTTTCATCCACACATTTAATACACTGTTGGAATTGGAACAAGTAGCAAGCGCCAAACCACAAATAACGAACAATTACGAGAAGATCGGCTCGAATCGGTTCGGTTTATACGTGTGTAATAAAAAATAATTTTTTATTAAATAATTTTTTAATATTTTGTCCAAAAATGTATCCGTTGTTTCCCTCCAAAAATTTGAACCCAAACATTTCTATCCGCCGGTTTTTTGAGCAACTGTGAACCGAACCGGTTCTTCCTTTTTCACGATCATCCCTTATAAGTACAAGATTCAGCAAAGAGCCTAGTAGCTTAATGATTATGTATAGCAACAATCCAGAATTTTTGCTGCTGAATTCTTGCTTACAATCCAGTGTTAACAAGGATTGACTACAAAATTGGCAAATAAATTAGCAATAAAATAAGTAAAGGAGCAATAATGCAACTCTAGAATGATCTCTGATCTTACTTGCATACCATGTACACATCTGTCAGCAATGTGCACTAATACACACTCGTTAACAACAGGTATACACAATGTTTAATCTGGTCACTATCTACCAGGTTATGTAACCCAGTCTACAAACCTACCTTTACCTTTACCTTTACCTAAAAAACTGCACATAGTTCTTGAAAAACCAATGTATTCAGATGTACAACAGTCAACAAACTAAATGTGAAAGATCGTCTATGACAATTTTAGAGAATCATCAGCAAGGTTAGCACAGTTCTTATGCCTGACTCAATCATCATCATCTGCAAGGTTTGCAAAGTTCTTATGCCCCACTCGATCATCAGCACGATAAAAATGCAGCAATTTTATGGGTTCTACTTTCTCCTGTAACAAAAAGAAATTCCACCATATTATTAGAAGATGAAATACCCATTATCAATTAAGTTACGAAAACAAACGCAGAAATGTTAAGCACCTCAACTATCTCTTCAGATTGCGAAGGGAAGTGAAATCCAATTGAGCAATTCTGCATAACTTCAGGGCTCTTGATCCATTCTCTGCGTGCATCACATGCCTTTATTTTGAATTTGAACATCTGCAAAAAGATTACGCAATATCCAATATATTCGAAATAAACTTGGTTATTAAAAACAAGACAAATATTTACCTAAAATAATAAGGAAAGGATTACAATATATATTAGATAAGCTGAAAGATTAGGAAAGGAAAATCCATGTAATAAACAAACCTCAGACAAAGTAAAAAAGGATGGGTGTTCCACGCCATCTCCATCAATAATCATACCAGTTCCCTGGCACTCCGGGCAGAATACAGATTTTATGTGTGCAGTAGCAACTTCCATGCCCTTTTCATTTCCAGTTTTATTGCCATCTGCTACAACCTTTTTCTTCACTCCTTGTCTAACATTTGGATGAACTAAACGACTTGTAATGATGTCAAATTCACACAAGAGTATCCAGTGTATAAGGCAGGACGTGTGAAACACATGGAAGGCCTGCATATGAATGCCAATGTCACTTAGGTAAATGAAATATGAATGCAACTCTTTTCCTCAAGTTTAAAATACATGTGTTATGCATACATTCATACAATGTAGTTTCAATATCACAAGTTCTAATGGAAGTAGAACCTCTCATGTTAAAATTTCACATAACCTAATCATGTGAAATTTTTATGTCTATCTCTTTCTTCATATGCATTAAATAATCCAATTATCATTAATGAAGAAAGAAATAGACACAAAAATTTTACATGACTTCCAAAAATTTGTCATGTGAAGTTTTAAAATGAGGGGATCCATTCCAAGTTTTTATACCAAGCTTTATTACTATCAAAACAAGATCACGTTTTTACCCCAGTTTCATTCCGACTGCAGCACGCTACTTTTCTAGTCTTCAAATTCAAAAGTGCCGCTACATCTTTACCAGGAAGCATTTTCTGTTGACAGATGTTACACGCTTTCTCTGCTGCTAAGCGCTGTTGCCGTCTCAATTCTTTCCTCACAGCCTTGCTTGAAATGAGCCTTGTGCGAAGAATCTGATTATTGCATTGATCTGTTGTCAAACTTGAGGTGGAATTGTCTAAAGCTGAAGACTCTTCTGTAGATGTATCATACTGATTGCTCAGAGACTCACTAATATCCTCAGGGTCAGACATTGATGTTTTTCTCTTTCGACCACTTTTCCTCTCATTTTCTGGTTCTTTCATAGAAGCAGGCAGGAGCAATGACTTGACTTCATCAAGCGATCTTGACCGACCCAAATCATAATCATAAGAGAAAATTACTATCGCAAAATCATGCTCTAGAACCTCAACACCATCTTGTTGACCATTATTCTCTTTTCCTAACCACTCACACCATATTCTTCTAATCCCATTTAAAGTGTTATCCTTCTCAAGGAACCTTGCAGCAATCTTCCCCCAGCCCACCTCCCTAACTTTTACATCAAAAGTTTCATCCCCAATCATCAAATGAGGAATCATCAACGTGCCATCATCATCCAGCATGTCATCATTCGAACTAGGTTGAACATCTGACTGAACCACTTCAGCTAACTCCACGATCTCAAGATTGTTGTCATTGTCACCAAACTGCAACAACCTGTTTTGGTTACCCTTTTTAATTGCCAAGTCTTCATCATTTTCGGTTGAAGTATCAAAGAAAACAACACCATCATTAAAAGGCCACGGTTTTGGCAGTAGCAGAGTAACCTTAGCAGCAGATAGTCTCTCCTTATGAAGATTTCCTTTCAAGTGATGGTACAGAACACAATCACTGTAACACGGCGCAAGACATAATGTGCAGAAATATATGAATTTTTTTCCGTTTTCACGTAGCTCAACATAGGGATGCCCTTGAGATCTAACAGTCCTTAGTATCTTTCTCGCCGCTTGTTCTCTAAGATTGGAAGCACCAGTCTTCGGAAGCCCTAATTCCAACTTTCCAGCCATTTGAAATTTCCCTCCAAAAGGCCAAACGCAAAATTCAACACCAGACAAACTTCAAGAACCAATAGAAACGCAAATACAGCAAGAATTTCTCTGAAATTTGAAAAATATGAAACTCCTACAGTTCTTCCAGATCAAGATTTCAGAGACAATTGTTCCAAACCCTAGATACATACCAGAAAATTTTCCAACACTGACACCTTCGTTTGACACGAAATTTCTTTTATATCCAAAGTTTGCACAAAGATAATCACACTAACAGCAAGGATTCGACGAATGCCAAGAATCAATGAGTCAATGATCCTATTCTTGGAATTTCGAGCTTAAACAGCGAAAAACAAAAAAAAACAAAAAGCAATGAAGAAATTTCCAAAGCGAAGTAAGGACCTTAGAACGCAGCTGTTAGACTAGATATTCGTTGCGTAATCGGTATGGAATTCTTCGGTAATCGTGGAGATCGTCCGTATCGGAGAAACGCGTCGAGAACAATGGAGAGAATCTCATACGAGCGCAAATCCTCCATTGACATCTCCATCTATCGCAGATAAGGACGAATATATGGAAGGTGTTTGGAAGGTGAGAAAGCAAGACAAAGTGAGGGAAAATGAAGAGGGAAGAAGGAAGATGAAAAGGCCAGAGAGAAAGAGAAACTAATGATTAACAGAAATGTGAGAAATGGTTTAGTTACAAAGCGATGACACGAATATAATGCGGGATTAAATGCTGGCCCTTGATGATTTATGATTAACGGTGATGGAGTGAAGTTGAAGCTTTTTGGATAAGGAAGGGTAGGAGTGGAATATTGTGTAGATTCGAATTTTTAAATAAGATTCCATTAATATTTGTGCCTTTTCTATGTAATATAAATGTTTAATAATTGAGAAGAATATTAGAAAAATATTAGTCACCACTCACTAGCCCGTGCAACGCATGTTATGTTCAAATTCTATTGATTTTAATTTATTATAGAATGATTTTTTATTTTTATTTTTGTCATAAGTGATTTGATCGCAAACGAAATATAATACAATGAAGTAACAAGAGTTGATCTTATTGCAATCTAATGATAATCTACAAGCTATATTCGGATATTTACTATGCTTATCTTATAATACTAATCAGATAAAAATGCAATACAACATCTAAATGCCCAATATATGACATCAAAATACCCAATTCATTCTTAAAAAAGACGTATGACATGATCAAATGAAAATAGTAAAATAGTGAATTCAGTGTGAGAGAGCAATAGAAGTTTTTTAAAATCTGAATAAAACCAATTTTGTCATTTTACAGAAAGTTCTAGAGAATGTATAGCAATGAAATAAAGATGTCAACATCGAGATCATGGTCGTTCAGATCCACTTCCATTAGTGTGTATTGTTAGGTTGAGTGCTGCTTCAACAAGTTTCCCAAAGAAGTTAATAAAATGTTCCAGCTGCCAAAAAACAATTGTTGCTGCCCAGGATCGAACTGGAGACCTTTAGTGTGTAAGACTAACGTGATAACCACTACACCACAGCAACGGAAGTATTGTTTCTTTGATCATGATAAAATACAAAAATTACACATATTGTATAACAACCAGTACCAGACCTAGGCTTTTTGACCCTTATGCCCCTTAATTAATAATTAATTACCAAATTGCCCCTCATTCAAAACTATTTCGAAAATTTACCCTTCCCAACAAACGGCGGCCCAGATCCATGTATGTTTACCGAGCCCGGTATAATTCTGTGAGGCCCGGCATTTTGATCCTAACGGCCAAAATTATAGGTGGAACATATTAAGGAAGGTTAATAACTAGGTATAACAGACTTTATTCATGGATAAAAAAAGAAGAAGACTATATTCCTTTAATTTATGAAGAGTTTCTATTCAAGGAATTTTAACTTTTAAAATTAAATCCTTCTAGATATCTGTAATTAGTTAATATTTTAAAAACTTAGAAAAACATTTATTATTTATATTTATTATTTATATTTATATAGTTATAACTTATGAGTACGAAGCTATGATTGCTGGGCTGATTTTGGCAAAGAAACTCGGAGCCGAGCAATTAGAGGTGTTTAGTGATTCCCAATTGGCAACTTCACAACTCAGTGGAGTATACCAAGCTCGGGGGGGAGATTATGATTAAATATTTGGCACGAGTACAGGAGTTGATGAAAGAATTTAAGGAGGTCCGAGTAGAGCACATTCGGAGAAACGATGATGCTAGAGCATATATGTTGTCAAAGTTGGCGAGCACTAAAGCCTCAGGAAATCTGAGGACCATTATACAGCAGAATATTCGAGCTCCGAGTGTGGTGTGGATGGTTGAAGAAGTGGATTGGAGAAGTCCAATTAAGGATTATTTGGAAAAAGGAAGGGAGCCAGGGGAAAAAACGAAAGCAAGTCGGCTGAGAAGAAGAACGACTTGGTTTGTCATGATAGAAGGACATTTGTATAGAAAAGGAATAAATTCTCCTTTGTTGAAATGCATAGCTCCACCGAACACAGAATATGTATTAGAAGAGATACATGGATTAATGGACATCATCTAGGAGGGAAGTCGTTAGCAAGGAAAGCTATACGAGCAGGATATTTTTGTCCAACAATGAGAGAAGATGCTAAAAAGCATGTACGCATATGTGAACAGAGTCAGAAGTTTTCTAATATATATCAAGTTCCTCCAGAAGAGTTGTTCACGATTTCATCTTCATGGCCATTTTTTAAATGGGGAATGGACCTTTTGGGTCTGTTTCCCAGAGCAGCCGGAGGAGTAAAATACTTGATAGTGGCAGCTGATTACTTCACCAAGTGGATAGAGGCAGAACTCGTAGCCACTATTACTACTCGGAAAATCCAGAAGTTTTTCATTGGGAAAATAGTCTGCAGGTTTGGTATTCCGGCTATAATCATAACGGATAATGGGACACAGTTCATAGATAGAAAATTTCGGCAGGTAGTAGCCGACTTGGGAATAAAGCACCAATTTGCAATAGTTGAACACCCACAAACGAATGGGCAAGTGGAGTCGGCAAACAAAATCCTGACAAACGGGTTGAAAAGAAGAGTAAAGGCATGCAAAGGAAGTTGGGTGGAAGAGCTAGACAGTGTGTTATGGGGATATAGAACTTCTGTACAGTCTAGTATTCAAGAAACACCGTTCAAAATGACTTACGGGTTTGATGCAATGTTACCTGTAGAGATCGGAGAACCATCATGGAGAAGGAAATTGGTTCTAGAAGATAAAGAAGGAGAGAATAGCGAGTTGATGAAGATTGATATGCAGTTGTTGGGGGAAGAAAGAGACAAAACAACAATTGTCGAAATGGCATCCAAGCAGCGAGCAGCGACAAGATACAATAGAACAGTGGTCAAGCGAACCTTCCAGGTAGGAGATTTAGTGCTCAGGCGGGCAAATGTGAGAAATAAGAATACAAGAGATGGGAAATTAGCAGCTAATTGGGAAGGTCCGTACCGAGTAACGTCGGCCACTAATACAGGAGCTTATCAAATAGAGCATTTGGATGGGAAATCTATCCCACGATATTGGAACGCGGGCAAGCTCAAAAGGTATTTCAGTTGAAGAGTTCAAAAATTGGTAGGAATAGGAGACAAACGAGCATGTGTAGTTATTGGGTAATATTTTGTGTTAGGAAGCTTAAGCTTTACTGTTGTTAGGAAAATTCTGATTTAAGTTTCGTATAGTAGTTTTCTATCATATTATGCTCGGTAGCTGACGAATATTTCGTATGTTAACTTTTGAATTCAATAAAGCAAGCTTTTCAGAGATGTATATTCTAGATGGAGCAAAAGTCCCTTGCCGCCTTTAATGGCCTCTTGGGCACCTGTTTAAATCCTACTCGGAAGCAGGGTCAAAAGTCCCTTGTCGCCTTCAATGGCCTCTTAGGCACCTGTAATCCCTACTCGGAAACAGGGTCAGAAGCCCCTTGCCGCCATCAATAGCCTCTTGGGCACCTGTTTAATTCCTACTCGGAAGCAAGGTCACAAGTCCCTTGCTGCCTTTAATGGCCTTTTGGGCACCTGTTTAATTCCTACTCGGAAGCAGGGTCAAAATTCCCTTGCCGCCTTCAATAGCCTCTTGGGCACCTGTTTAATTCCTACTCGGAAGAGGGTCAAAAAGTCTCTTGCCGCCTTCAATGGCCTCTTGGGCACCTGTTTAATTCATACTCGGAAGTAGGGCCAAAAAGTCCCTTGCCGCCTTCAATGGCCTTTTGGGCACTTGTAATTCCTACTCAGAAACAGGGTCAGAAGCCCCTTGCCGCCATTAATGGCCTCTTGGGCACCTGTTTAATTCATACTCGGAAGCAGGGTCAAAAGTCTCTTGCCGTCTTCAATGGCCTCTTGGGCACCTGTCCACTTCCTACTCAGAAGCAGGGTCAAAAGTCCCTTGCCGCCTTCAATGGCCTCTTGGGCACCCGTTTGATTCTTACTCAGAAGCGAGGTTGATTTTCAATATCGCATATTTATAAAAACGTTAATGGATTTCAGAGTTTTAAAAAGATAAGTGTTATGGAATATGGCAAAAACAAATTTTGCTGAGTTGCGTTGTAATTTATACAACAACAAGTTACCAGAATAAATCGGATCAAAGTAAAATATAGAAGTAAATGAAGTAATAGGAGAAGTATTAAAACCGCAAGAAATCAAGGATCCAACATACACAGTCATTACAAAACAGACAGTCATTCAAGAACAAGTTAAAATAGGTACAAAATAAAAGTGGCATCCCACTTCTTCAAGCATTATTTGGGGTGCCTTCCGAGGTAGTCTTGCCGGAAGTCGAAGTAGTTCCCACGTACTCGGATGGGCAGGTGGCAAGCACAGTAATGGATCCTTTTTCATTGTGGGTGCATAGTCGGCCATTATCCACAAAGTTGAAAGTATCAATTTTCTCCAAGTTAGGAAGAGCAGTTTCCCGGTGAAAGAACTTCACTTGATCCACAATCCAACCACGAATTTGATGAGCAAAAGCAACATATTTAGAATCCATGTCCTCGGCAGCTTGATGTAAAGAAGTCACGTTTTTCTTCAAGGTTTCCACTTCTAGTTCCAGTTCGGCTACTCGGAAGTCTGAATCTTCAAAATTCTTCTTCAACATTTTATGCTCTTCAGTCAGCTCATCATTTTCTCGTTTAAGAGTAGTAAACTCATCATTGGCTTTTTGGACCAGCTTTTCAGTTTCTTTAAGTTTCACTTGAAAACCTTGGGCAACAAACTCGGCAGCTTCGACCCTTTGAGTCAAGCGAGCTTGTTCAGATTTGAAATTGTTTTTAATGAGTTGCAACTCTTTCAGCTCAGTAAGTAGTTGTTGACGTTCAACTAGTGCTAACAGTGCCATCTCGTAATAGTGGGCTTCACGGAAGGAGTTATCTCGGATTTCAGTAAATTTGCCAATTAATTGATCAACAGAAAACTTATCCCATTTTCACGGATCCTAGCGGTAAAACAAGGTTGTAATTTCTTGATAAAGGGAGGACCTGAAAAAGGAGTTGCAATCACTGAAGACGGAGGCGTCAACGACTTGTCACTAGAAGGGGGATCCGGGCTGGGTTCGTTAATCCGAACTCGTTTTTTGTGGCGGGTGTCACCTGAATCAACAGGGGAATCCGTATCTAGTACCACAGTGTCACTGGGGATAG